TAAACCCGTTATCCTTCTCCTACGCACCGTTCTGTGATGCACACATTTCGCTTACTTCATTCGGACAGTGCTGCCGGATGTTTTAAACATTCTCAAATATGCTACATTTCAAAGTCTAAATAAATTAAATGTAGTAACATGTTATAGTTAATAGCGAAAAAAGGTACAAACATACCTCGATGGAGAAGACCACTATTCATCTTGGACATTATATTCCTTGGAGCTCCTCGCCTCAGAACATAAAGTGATCGGCATATAATGGCGTACTTCTCCACCAAGGTTATTACTGTACTATTATCTTCTGTATCAACCCGATAAAGCCCAGATCAATTTCTTTGTAGATGTTCAGGTGTATGCTGTGCTTCTAGACACTGATTACGAAAACTATGTAACCGAATACTTCTGCATGTTCGGTAAAAGTAAGTATTAAATGTATGGGATCTGTAAATTAAGTGATAAGACTGGCAACGTGGCGTACGATCTGGCAACACTGGCGGCGCCCGGCTTGGAAGGGAGACAGTGGAACATGTAATCCGCTTTCAGTACTGTTTGAACTTGCTCGATTCGATTTTTGTTTGTGAAACAGCTTTTCCTGTGTTCTAAAGATGGAGCATCAGGTTTTGTTTCAGACTTGGAGACAGTCCAACATAAGCTCTTGCTAAACTTTAGCAAGCCTACGGAGATAGTGTTTTGTCAGGAGCCCATTTTTGTTGCTTCTAATACATACATTAGGAAATGAGCTAGGCCCATTTTCGCATGCAACTTGATCAATCACATTTAAGAAGACTTCTCATTTTGGCAATAACTTTATTTTGTTCAGTAACTTCTATCTTCTGATTCATGTGTAAGTTCGTCAGAATAAGTTTTAACAGGCAACTCGCATTCTCCGAAAACCCGTGACTTGGTTATCCAGATATTGTACAGCCGGAGCATCATAGGAGTGCAGATGGTAAAACTGGATCGATCTCTTTCCATTAGATGGGCATCATCAAACTAGTATTGTCAATTATACTTCCTATGATACTCTAGGTCTAGGTAATAGCTTTAGAAATATCCTACACGTCGTCGTTATTTTGAAGAAACGTTCTATATAAGAATTTTTCCACATCAGAGCTTTCCGAATTTCTGTATAGTTAAATATGAGCTACGTGATCTGATGTACAAGTTTCATAATAAGAAACTCTAGTAATTCTGTAGAGATTCACTAAAGGTCGGTGTGAATGAAAGCGAAGCCACTTTCTTAAATTTAAAAGAGCTTTTGATATTCTATAAAAGCTGCTACTAAACACATTGGAGCTTTCATCAAAACAAGGACGGTGTATACAATTGTGAATTTGTATGGTAGAACGCATGTAACAAAGTAGCGAAATGGTTCTGTATTTTTACAGGTGAAGTATTTTGCAACAGGTCAAAGTCAGGTCCTTACTAACTATGAACTGTGTAACTATTAAAGGGTTAGCTAAGATTTGACCTTGGGACTCCTTCAAAATTATTGACGCTAAGAAAGATTCCTAGAAGCTTAGCAGGATTATTGATGAAAAAGATCCACGTCACGCTTTAATAGGTATTTCAATGTTGACCTTGGTTTTGACATTGAGCCTCTCCTCTAAAACCATGATAGTACGTATGAGAAAGTAGAATTTTTCATTGCTGGTATTGTTCACAGTTGAAAAAGGGTTGACCTTGAAATTACTATGAACGCTGTGTCTAGAGTCACCATTAAAATCCTTGTTAAATGACATTGAAGATGTGTGCTTAATAATTCTTTTAATTATTAATCCTAATAAACTCACACATTTGACCTTCTTTTGACATTGATCTTAGAACTTAATACATATACGTACGTAATATTTTCTGTTCTTTCAATTACCGATGTCAAAAAGGGACACTTCGATTTCAAAAACAAAAGCTGTCCTTGAAATAACCTTGAAGGTTGGTCCAAGATCAAATCCAGGATCACCATTGAACTCCTCATTCGAAATGCGTTACCTTGATAAATACAGAGCCTTTGCTCTACTTTTGTTGCAAATAGTATGTATGTTTTCAGTGGCAGAGGGATTTATCAGAACTAGAAGCAAAAATCCCAGTCCAGAAATCATAGAGAAGGCAAAGGAGGTAGCAAAACAACGAGTGCCCGATGTTAATACTTTTGTAGACTTGAACTGTGCTACTTCCGATATTTAGTTTTAATTGACTGTATCGTAATATAAAATATGTTCGATTCTTGTACTTTTTGTGCTCAGCGTCTGTCTGATCCAAACCGTTGATCTAATGTCAGGTGTGATGGAGGCTTTTCACATGAAGCTGTACAGTTCTGTTCTGTGACTTAAGTGAATCCTCCGATTGCTTGCTATAACTTTTCCCCAATATCATTGCATTGGTAGAGTCCTATTTGCAAGAGAGATATCAAACAGTAGATATTGATACTGAAAGGTCTGCAAATAGGAGGATATCGGTAGGAGTGCCACAAGGTTCTGTCTTAGGCCCCAGACCCTTTCTTATCGATATTAATGATCTCCCAGATAATGGAATAATGCTCAAATATACAGATGACACATCAATATCTCTTGCAGCTAGCTCTCATCAAAATGCAGTTCTCTATGAGATAAATAAACATTCAAAATGAAGATCAAGACAAGCACTAATGGAAAATCCACATTGACGGTCTATCCATTAAACATCTCAGAATATTCATGTCATTCGCAACTTATTGCGTGACGTGTCGCCAAATATACTCCGCATTTGATACTTCGCACTATTTCTGTCGCACACATATGCAATTATTGTCTTGGGTCAATTTGCTGAGGCAGTACGAATATAATATCAGAAATAAGCGAAATTGGATCCCTATACCGGGTGTTTCAGAACTATGGGATCAAACTTGTAGGGGTTATGCAGTGTAACAGTAGATAACATTTGAATATAGGGACCCATATCCGGCGCTTGTGTGTTGTTATCTTTAAAAACGATAACAGAGTTGTTTTTTGTAGCTGCATTCCATATCGCCTTAGTCGTGCTATGCTATGCTATGAAGTTTGCAAGAATTTAACAAAAATGGAAAACTTTACCAATCAAGAATTGTCGGATATGCATTTGGCATACTGAGCAACAAGCTGCAATGCATGAGCAGCAGCGCGGTTGTGTCAAGAACGTTATCCCGAACGACACCATCCGGGATACAAAAAGTTGATTGCTATTTACCGGCGGCTCTCCGAGATAGGCATGTTTAAAACCAAAATGCATGATACTGGTGTTGCTCGAACCGTAAGAACGGTCGAATTTAAAGAAGAGGTCCTTCAGCGAGTTGCCGACGAACCATCAAGTAGCACATGTCACAATGCTGAGGATATGAATACGAGTAACGCTTCCGTCTGACCGATGAAGCCTCTTTTACCAGAGACGGTATTTTTAATAGTAGGAATAGCCATGTTTGGGAAAAAGAAAATCCACATGCAATTTTCCCTAGAAAACATTAGCAGCGTTGTTCTGTCAACGTATGGGAAGGCATTGTTGATGATTATTTGATTCCGGAACGGTTAACAGGACCTATTTACTGGCGTTTCTTGGAGGAAGTTCTTCCAGAACTTCTTGAAATTGTTTGACAGCAAATTGTTGTGATTATATCATGTACAAAAGGCAAAAATTAAATGCCTATTTAGGCAATTCATCGAATTTCTAAATTTTAACGCGTCCCAGGGCCGTAGTGCCGTAGTGACACTTTTCCGGATATGGGTCCCTATACTCAAATGTTTTCTACTGTTACACTGAATAACGCCTAGAAGTGTGATCCCTTACTTCTGAAACACCCTATATATCGGCGACTGAGGAGGTTTCAGGATGATCCTTCGTTCTGGGCCATTAAATTTTTCAATAAGTTGTCACTAATTATAAAATCACTGTCATTTAATGATTATATAATTGGTATCAGAAATGTTTGGACCCTAAATGCTTTTTAAAATTGAAAATTTTCTAAATACTGATTTTAACGTTTTGTGATATTTCAAAACTTTGAAGTGCATCAGCTGCATTCATGCTACATAATGAGACTTTTTTCTTGTGATATGACGATTGTAAAAAATTTGTTGTATTAGCATGAATAAATAAGTGGAATGAAATGAAATGTCAAAAACGAAGCGATTTTATTTGTTTCGGTTTTGGCTTTTTTCTCCGCCGCTATGGGACCGACTTTCAAAGCATACGAAGTTTGTTCAAAAAGTATCGCGAATTTCATGTTTTTTCAAGAATTACTTATTTATTCATGAATATCTATTTTTTGAAGTAGACAAAAATCGGAGACAAGCTAAAACACGTCCACGCACAATAGCTGTCAAAAACTGACTGAACATTCAAAATGGCCGATATTGTCAACATTAGTGATGGTCATGAGTCCGGAAACTCAAAAAAAAAATGTGTACAGCATTGTTAGTGGTGATGAATCGTGGATTTACTGTTATGAACCAGAAAATAAACGACAGTCGGCTGTTTGGGTGTTCCAAGGTGGAGAAAAGCCAACAAAAGTCATCCGTTCTCGCACACAGCCCAAAAAACAAGGCAGTATTTAACGGAAGAAAACGTGGAATTATTGGACCATCCTCCATATAGTCCCGATCTAAGTCCTAACGATTTCTTTACTTTCCCAAAAATTAAAAACAGGCTCAGTGGTCAAAGGTTCCAGTCACCAGAAGAAGCAGTTGACGCATTCAAAAATGCCGTTTTGGATCTGCCAGCAAACGAGTGGAATAAGTGCTTCGAAAATTGGTTCGAGCGCATGCAAATGTGTGGAGAATACTTCGAAAAACAGCAAAAGTCATTTAAAACTACCTACCGTGTTGATTTATTTCCACATGCAAAACTTAAAAGACTTAAAAGACGTAACGTAACAGACATACTACGAAATTAAAAAATCAAATTAGTAATATAGCTTCCGTTCTTCTGGTAACAGATGACAATTTGTGCTGTCAATTCAAAATCAAGTTACTTACAATCTGTTCTTATTCCAGGTGGTTCAACGAATGACGACCAATCACCGCCTCATTCTCCACGGCCAAGCAACCACCATACGCACCCTCCTCGTTCTCTCACCCCCTCCAGACCTTCATCACGCCCCTCATCACCTCCTTCCCCTCAAGGGGCAGGGGGTAGTCCCCCTCATCACGGAACTGCCTCCCACCCCGCTTTCCTGGATCAAAGCTACCTGTCCAGGTCCAAAAGTCCCGCTTATAGAGAAAATGAGAATATGGTTATCGATGAAGAGGTCGAGGATGAAGAGAGTGATTATGATAACGATAAGGATAAGAAGGTAGGTGAAAAATTATGAATTCTATCGAGATTCAATACGTGATGAGGTGGGAGGAGTAGGTTCTATGTGATATTAGACAAGTAACTATAAAAAACTTCTTTATTAAAGCTAAAACTGTATGAATAGAAATTTTACAAAGAAGGTTGATTAACATCCTGCATCTCATCATTGAGACACAATTGCGAATAGGTGGAACGATTTTGTTGTAAATATTGGCAAATCCTATGCTGGGCGCATTGTGAGGCCAAACGGGAACAGACCGCAACGAAAATTAGATCAAAGTACTTTTTTCTTGAAGGCCTGTTTTGATAATTTGAAGTCTGAATTGCTTAAATGTACTGCTGACATTATTTCAATACCGCTGTGTCACATAATAGTCCCTGAAGGTCCAATATCTGTCATCATAATTATATCTACAATACTTGAGAAAACATTGAAAAATAAGCTAATTTACATTTTTGGATAAATGCAAATATCTTTTTGTTTCCGAATCATTCATTGGAATATCAACCAATGATGCAATTGCTAAATCAACATAAGAGTACAGAAAAAGGTTAGAATTGATCAGACAGGTACTATGAATATTCCTGGATCTTGCCAAGGCCTTCGACACTGTAAATCAACAGCCGATGTTGGAGACCTTGTAGGATGCAGGAGTACGAGGCGGACCTTTTGACTATGGTTTCCCGCAGGTTACTGTGTTGGGTCCAGTTTTGTTTACAATTTACATAAACATCATTCTAACTTCCTCTCCGTGTGCTCAAGTGTTTAGCTTTGCAGATGATAGGGTAGTACTGTATGGCGATAGTACTTGGGAAAGTCTAGCAATTGAAGCAGAGCGGGATCTAGGAGCTATGCTCATAAACTATTTACCGTGAACTACGAGAAAACATCCTTCATGCATTTTTCTAGTACAGTGCGTTGTCTACCTCACTATGATCAAATTTTGATAAATAAAAGAATACTTTTAACATACCTGAAAACCTATGAACATATAAACAGTCGCCACCTGAGATCGGATGTTTATCCAGGGTGTAAACGTTATGATAGTCATTATTTACATGAATGATGGAGGGGGTTAAAAGTAGCAAAAAGTTTCATATAACATGGAGGTCAAAACGGCAGTTTTTTAGAGAAAAGCGACTTTAAAGTAAAATAAAATCTGACAACGCCGCAATGCCAGACGCAAATTACGCAGTGTAAATAAAGATGAAGTTTGTTATTTTTGGCTCTTAGGTATTATTTCGTTATTTGGTAATATACTCGTAAAATGCAAATAATTAAAAAAAAACGGACTTACCACTAACTGTCTCAGCGCTTCACCTGGTGTGTGAAAGTGAAAGTTAATTTGAGCTGCAAGGTTTGAATTCTAACGAACTTCACCGTAAACTAGCAACATGTCGGCGAACTCCTGATTCGAGAACATTGTAAATCAACACGACGACGTACGCGAATAAAAGCAAAACGTCATACCAACCACTGTTACCGTTTGCGATCGATTGCCGCTTCGATAAGAGTGATGATGACCGACGCGCTGTCGTCATGTGTGTTTTAATAATTCGATTTAATTAAACTTACTTACTGACTATAAATTTTGGCTTAACTTAGAAAAACTTAATGCCATTTATTTGTTAATTACCCAATTTAAAAACGTTTTAGATTAGATTATAAAAATTAGTAAGATGTGGTGATTGTGGTCGATATAAAGCACTTAAAGTTGTAAACTATAAAGCCATTTAGACAAAAATCTATTGACTTTTGGACCATGGGTCATATGAACTTTTTGACTTGTTTTGACCTTACCGTAACTCTTATGTCGCTTTAAATACTTAGAAATTCTCATAGTCTACATGTACCTGAAAATGTATTATTATGTATTAGTTGAGTAACGTCTGCGATACGCCAGTTTGAGTTGGGGGGAGGGGGTTGCCTCTAGATATACAGCAAAAAAGTATGTTAAAAGTGATATGCAAAAAATTACTTATCCTTTTGTTAAATTATTTTCAGTGTTTGACCTAAGAAAATTGTGTTCCGATCAACTCGTTCAATACACGTACAAATACAAGAACAACTTCAATAAAGCTAGTCATGCTTATAGTACTAGACAGAAAAAGAACTTAAAAATACAAACTTTGCAAAGAAATGTAAGCTTGTCGATGTCACACCTACTTATGTAATATTTATAATTTGTTGCCATAAATGTACCGTATAGATATTGATAACGTAAAAGTATATCTGTTTAATTGGTACTCAAGAGACAAGGAAGCTACTGGAAATTATTGCTTACTAATAATCGTACAACACGAGTGCTACTCCTTCTTACCCTCCAGACTTCTAAGTGTGCTTGTCACAATTTTTATTTAAGCTAATAAGTGTAGTAAAGTCACGTGTTAAGTTTTCTTTCACGTTCATTGTACATCATTATTGTTTGTTCCACCATCAAGTTGTACTTAGTTAGAATTATAATACCTTTCATGTTATTTTCCACAATGATTTATGCCTTAGAAATATTGTCACTGTATTTTTAATCATTCAAATCTCTTACAGGTGCAGAACCCTAGCATGAGTCCTGGCGGCAACTCGCTAAACAAACGAAAAAAGAAAACCCGGACAGTGTTTTCTAGATCGCAAGTGTTCCAGTTAGAATCGACCTTTGACATGAAGCGGTATCTGTCATCGTCGGAACGAGCTGGTCTCGCAGCCAGTCTGCACCTGACAGAGACCCAGGTGAAGATCTGGTTTCAGAACCGCAGGAATAAGTGGAAGAGGCAGTTGGCTGCAGAACTCGAGGCTGCCAATATGGCGCATGCTGCTCAAAGGCTGGTAGGTGTTACTTACATATTATAAAAATAGTAACAACTATTTTAATTTAATTTACTGATCACCTATTTTCAATCTCCGGTACTGTTGAAACTTATAGAGGGTTGTTAGTCTGTTAGATCATTTTAAATTAAAAAAAATTATGGATGAAGCTTTTCGCGATTATTTTTCCCAAAATACTGTATTTTTAGCACGTATTTTCACCGCCATCACTAACGAACACCTACCATATTGCCTTGACTGTGCTATTACCGGATTGGGTTGCGGATTTGAGAAGAAATATGGAGAGTCGAAAATTTATATATCTACATACATTGATTAACACAAAATAATGAAAAACTAAAAACAAAAATGAACAACGCAAAAGTAAAATAAGAAACGATTCTCAATAATTTTGAACAAGAAATGAAAAAAATTATTACAAAAATTAATAAAAAAAAAAACAGAATTGTAAAGTATGGGGTAGTAGTCGCAGTGGTAGGGTACTTTTGATGTGATGTCTTTTATCTTGTGATATAATTTTTGTTATTTTTTGTTTGTTTTTGATAATCACTTGGAATTCCTTTTTACTTCACTACATCTTATTTCTTTGTTTTATAATCATTTAGAATGTTTTTTGTTTATTTTACTACTGCTTGCTACTTTCATTTTTTAAAATTAGTTAGCATTGTTTTTCAGCTTACTACTGTTATTTTTTGTTTTATAATTATTAAGGATTATTTTAGTCCGGCAACCTCGCAGGCAAGTCCTTCATATGAACAGACGTCAACGACATGTATGGTAGCGATGGCAGTGAAAATACAGTATTTTGGAAAAAGAATTTCGGATAAGCGTGCTTCATCGACACATTTTTTGGCTTAGAATGATCTATCAGACTACCCTATACAGGGTGATCCACAAGTCGTGACCAAAAATGAAACACCATACACAGGGCCGCATTTTAAGGGGGGTCTTTTATTTAACATGTCTTTCTTCATCAAAAAGATACATGGTGTTGAAGTTTAAAAATAGAAAATAATTTTTTAATATCTTCAAACCGTCATCTAGAATGAATTAAAATTTGGTATGGGGCGGAGATACAAGGGCAGTGGCATTATTTTTTCGAATTTTTTTGATTTTACCTTTAATTTGCTACAAATAATTACTATTGTACTCGTTAAAATAAATAAACACCACTGGTGCACGTTAATTTTAAGTAAAGACTTCTGAATGTGGCAATACTTGGGTAAATTCACATACCAAATTTTTGTTCATTCCAGTTGATGGTTTTGAAGATATTAAAAAAATAGTTTTTTATTTTCAAACTTCTACACCCCGTATCTTTTTAATGAAACACCCGAGGAAAAAAATGTTACATAGTAGACTCCCTTAAAATGCGGTCTTGTCTACGATGTTTCATTTTTGGTAACGACTTGTGAATGACCCTGCATAATTTTGAAGTGAAAAAAAAATGGTGACATCCGAAGCTCTTCAAGACACTACACTACCCATTCTCCTTTTCCGGAATATTTAGTGACTCTGACATTCTTGTTTTTTAGAGTTTAAAGTTTTATTTGTTGTTTGTAACATGAAGTCAACATTTCTTATGAATCTACAAATACAGGTTGTCCACAAAGTTGGGACTTTCCTTTACAGAGCGTCTGGGCCAGGCAATAATAAGCAAGTTTCCCAAAGCCTTAAGATAACCGACATATTAAGTTCCGAAAAACTCTAAATGGGCCAGTCCAAGCCTGCCTTCCTCCCCCTCCGCTCCCCTTCCACCTCCTCCATGAAAAGGTTTGGTCATGCTATGTCTATGTGAGTCAGTATCTGAATCATCAGATATGTCTTAAATCTCTTACCAAATGAATAGTGAGTATTTTTCTTTAATTTCTTCCAACAATTTCCGGTGCTGTTTTCACCGCAAATAAGCTTTGCTATTTCGAACGTAGTGTTTTCTGAAAAGGAAAGTTCAAATTTTCAGGACACCCTGTACTGTTCAAAATGATTTCATCTAGCTATAAAGTAAGTCTCTAACCTCGTTTTCATAGACTGACAAACTGTTTCAAATGCAGATGTTTCAAGAAGGAAAGTCTGGTAATCATCCGTTTTCGAGATATAGAGCCTCAACTTTTTTTAATTCCATTCATGCAAAAAAATTGTAATCACTGGCTAATTTTGAAGTGGCCTATTGAAATGTATCATTACATTAACATCTCGCCGAAAATTAATGCCAGTCGAAAAAAAAAACGCTTTTATAAAACCATGGGGGCAGGACAGATATATCAGATGGTAGCTAAATTACAACCATCGGATGCTCGCACAAATACAATGAAATCGCTCCAAGAACATGGTACGATTAAATAATATTACTTACTCTCTTTCGAAGAGCCCAATTAAAACTGACGAAGAAGAAGCAGGCGTGGCGGGCATCATACCGTCGCCGTCGGCCTAAATTATCGATTTTTTGATAACTTAAATAACTCTTTAGCGTTAAGTATGCAAGATGAAGAAATAAATATATATTCATGTATACCTGTACAAATTGCTTATCTTAGTTTCTGTCCAACACATATAGCTTCTGTTCTTTGAATCACCTTATATACAACTAATTTTCCATTCCAGGTGCGAGTTCCAATCCTCTACCACGAATCCGCCGCCGCAGCGGCAGCCGCAGCCGCAGGTAGTACCGGCATGCGACACCCGTTCGACCAGAACCACCCCTTAGGGCTGCCCCACCCCCTAGATGGTCGAGAGGGCGGTGGTTCAGGTGGTTCCGCCCCTACCGGGTACCCCTCCTCTCTCTACTACCACCACCAAGCGGCAGTCGCTGCGGCAGCGGTCCATTCGCTGCCCGCCTCCAGTCCTGTCACGCGACCTACGATGTCCGGATTGGTTTGAAGGTGGTAGGAGGAGCGATAGTGGGCGTGACTTAAGCAGGCTCCGCCTATTGCAGCACATGACTAGCCTTTTAATATCTAGACTGGTCTTGGAGTAGGAAAGAGATGTAGCGTAAAGGGCTTGATGAACTGTGGGTATGTTAAATGAGAACTTCAATCAAATACAAGTTTATCTGTGTAAGAAGACCTTCAAGCTTAATGGGCGAGGAAGAGTGCTTCCCTAACTGAACCCATGATAATTCGTGATAGGTGAATTCAACATGAACGAGATTACTGTATTTTGATAAGATGTTTAAACAACAAATGATTCATGCGTATTACAACGGGTACCATTGCAATGACTAAATATGATGTGTAAAACTGTGCTTAGAATACCAATCTTTTTATAAAATTATAAATCTCCATGCTGTCTATAAATTGTCGTACGTGGTTGATTCAAATCCATTTCAAAAAGCCAATGACAATTCCAGAACTACTTACATGTAACTAAAAAAAAAAATATGATAAAATATAAAATACTCAAAACAGCGCAAATATTAGAAGTTATAACGAACAGTCGTGAACGTTGACTATCGTGCTTCTATATGGATTTGAAAATACATCTGGCAACATGACGAGAGGATGTAAAATGAAACTGGTAGCGCTTTATCTTGCTAGTTCTGCCCTAGTTCATTCCGAATTTGTCCCCAAAAGAACATAAAGCTTTCGGCACTTCCTGTCTTATGAGCCATCTGTCAGTGAAACTCTATTCAATGAATTTGTCCCTTTTTGTACTGTTATCGTGTATTTTTCGAAAAGAGAGAAGAAAGCCATGAAGAAATTGGTTGTAGAAGCATGATTGCATGCAAGTCCACAAGGATAAGCTGTGAAATATGACACTGTTGACAGCTGACAACACAAGCCTGAGGTCCTCTAGGTTCTGTGATATCTTTGCCCAGTGTGTAAAGCTAGTTCAAAGTACGGTCCAAAAGAACATGAATATACAGGGTGATTCACCAGTCGTGACCAAAAATAAAACATCATACACAGGACCGCATTTAAGGGGGGTCTATGTAAAATTTTTTTCTCGGGGCCTCATTAAAAAGAAGTTTAAAAATAAAAATATTTTTTTTATATTTTCAAAATCGTCAACTGGATTGAACGAAAACTTGATATGTGGATTTACCTAAGTATTGTCCACATTCAAAAGTCTTCACTTAAAATTAACGTGCACCAGTGGCGGAGATACAGGGGATTAGTGACATAATTTTTCCAAAAAAAATAGTACGCCGCTGTTTTTTTAAGAAACGCGCAGTTTTTTGAATTACTCCGTCAGTTTGCTACAAATAATTACTCTTATGTTTTTTCCCAGAAGTGCACTGTTTTCGAATTTTTTTTTTATTTTTATAAAAACAATGCACTCTAGGAAAAAGCACAAGAGTAATTATTTGTAACAAATTGAAGGTAGAATTCGAAAAATTGTGCGTTTTAACAAAATTAGTGGCGTACTATTTTTATTTGGAAAAATAATGCCACAAATCCCCTGTACCTCTGCCACTGGGGCACGTTAATTTTGAGTAAAGACTTTTGAATGTGGACAATACTTAGGTAAATCCACATAGCAAATTTTAGTTCATGCCAGTTGACGGCTTTGAAGATATCACAAAAATTGTTTTTTATTTTTAAACTTCAACACCCCGAATCTTTTTAATGCGAAACCATCAAGCAAAAAAATCTAACATAGAAGACTCCCCTTAAAATGTCCTGTGGATGTTTCATTTTTGGCCACGACTTGTGAATCACCATGGATACACAGGAGTGCTAGGTCAGATAGTTATGTAGACAACCTCTGTTAGATTGACACTTTTATTTTGGCACTTTATATAAATTCACTTTTGTCAAGTCGTCAGTTGTACATTCCTCTTGCACTGTATGAGTGCGGTTCTAGTATCCCAGTGATCAATTAAGCTTGTCGATTCGACCGATACAGAATTCATAGTCAGTTCTGAATTGACATTGCCATGGAGATAGGAATTTTATTTTCAAAAAATTTTTGCAGTATAAGGAAAAATAATGATGGAATGTTCATTGTGAATGAGAGCATTATATACGTTCAAATATTGTAGCTATTTGTACATATAGGTAAGTTCAACTAAAATTTGTAAACAAGCTACTACAGTTACCCAACATGCCAAAAAGTGAATAGTTAATATATATGTTTAATTGTGTAGCAGAAGTTGTTGTTACGGTAAATAAATGTAATATGAAGTAAGAATATTGTTTTAATTACCTAACCTTTGACACAATTAATCAGTTACAAACTATGGACTTTACGTGAAATGATGTGTCGCGAACCAGCGTTCTGGCCAAGTCGAATTAAGGGTGGATTTGGAGGATACAAGGGTGATAAGATGTAAAGACTTATACTCGTAGGTAATATCAATGTTGACTGAAATTGTATTGATCTATACACGGTGTTCCATTTTAGTCTCCTCACCTAAATATTTCGGAAACTGCTCATTCTAGAAAAAAGTTTCGAGAAAAATTGTATGGTTTCAAAAAAATGAAGGTGACCTTGGCAATGACCTTGACTACGATATTCAAGATCATTTCAAGCTCAAGAGAATATTTTCAAATAAATGACCGCTTTTTACGTCCGAATTGAAAAGAGGGATAATTTTACGACCTATTATCACCTTCGTCATGACCTTGATTGTTGCCTACAAGGCCATGTCAAGGACAATTTAAAGCATCGAAAGCAATTTTATCTAGCAAACATTTTCGACAGCGCAGTTGTAAGGATTGTGACAATCACCCAAACGTGACCTTGACCTTCAAGGTCAAGTTAAAATTGAAGGCAATAGTCAAGGTCATAACGAGGGTGATGGTAGGACGTAAAATTGTTCCTCTTTTCCGATGTAAAAAGCTGGATTTTATTTAAAAATATTCACTTGCCCTTGAAATCTCCTTGACTACGATCTTCAAGGTAATGTCAAGGTCAATACAGGGCATCGAAAGTAATTTGCTCTAGCAAAAATCTTCGACAGCATATGTGTTTTGAGGTTTGCGACGATCACGATGTGATCTTGACCCCCAAGGTCTCGTCAAAAATTGAAGGCAATAGTAAAGGAGTAATGACGAAGGTGATGATGGAACGTAAAATTGATCCTCTTTTCAATTCCGATGTAAAAAGCGGGCTTTTATTTGAGAATACTTACTTGGCTTTGAAATGACCTTGACTGCGATCTTCAAGGTCCTTTTGAGGTCATCTGGATATTTTCAAGTAAAGACCCGCTTTTTACATCGGAATTGAAAAAAGGAACCATTTTACGTCCTATCGTCACCATCGTCATGAACTTGACTATTGCCTTCAAGGCCATGTCAAGATCAACACAAGACATGGAAAGCAATTTGTATTGGAAAAATTTTCGACAGCACAGTTGTTTTGCGGTTTTTGGCGATCACCCAAAGGTGACCTTCAGCTTCAAGGTCAAGTAAAAAATTGCGGGCATTAGTCAAGGTCATAACGATGGTGATGGTAGGACGTAAAATTGTTCCTCTTTTCCGATATAAAAAGCGGGCTTTTATTTGAAAATATTCACTTGCCCTTGAAATGGCCTTGACTACGACCTTTAAGGTTATGTCAAGGTCAATACAAGGCATCGAAAGTAATTTTCTCTAGCAAAAATGTTCGACTGCGCAGTTGTAAGGTTTCGGGCAATCACCCAAAAGTGAATTTGACTTTCAAAGTCAAGTCATAAATTGAAGGCAATACGCAGGGTCATGACAAGGGTGATTATAGGACGTAAAATTGTTCCTCTTTTGAATTCGGATGTAAAAAGCAGGTTTTTATTTGAAAATATTTATTTGACCTTGCAATGATTTTGACTACGATCTTCAAGGTCATTTCAAGGCCAAGTGAATATTTGCAAATAAAAGTCCGCTTTTATATCGGAATTGACAAGAGGAACAATTTTACGTCCTACCATCACCTTCATTATGACCTTGACTATTGCCTTCAAGGCCATGTCAAGGTCAATACAAGGCATCGAAAGCAATTTGCTTTAGCAAAAATGTTCGACAACGCAGTTGTGAGGTTTGGAAGTTTTAACTTGACCTTGATGGTAATGGTCAAGATGATAAACAAGGTGACCTTTGGGTAATCCTACAAATCTCATAAAACTGTGCTGTTGGAATTTTTTTTCAGTCCCAGATAGAACAGCATGATACGACTTCCTCAATTCCAAACCGGATGAGTTTTACAGGGATGCCATTCACTCTTTGCTTAATTACAGGCGAACAGTAGTAGCGTTGGTGACTATATTGTCAGTGACTAACTATTATTTCATAAATCAATAAATGTATTAGCAAGCCCGATAGAATTAAACTTCGCCTACCCCTACATCATCGCTAAGCGAAATTTTATTTAGGCATATTTGGTTCAATTATAATTATTTCAGCCTGTATAAACTCTTGTAATAAATGCTGCCTAAAATCGAATCTTCACTGTTGCCCTTCATTCACTTGGTAAGGTAAAATTTCAGTATTAAATCAGTGCCAAGTAATTGACGGTTCACATTATTCATTCACATACCCCGGCCAAAAGTTGTCGACTGCTGGCGAAGCCCCGAAGCGCACTCGAAAACGCAAACGCAACCCTCTAAAAAACGAAAGGACGACAACAGAGGGTAATCCGAGACATCACTCACCCCCTCTGCTCCCCAAGCCCCAACAACCCTCGACTCTATTAAAATGATGTCTCGTTCATTCGGTGACTGCCTTTCAGAAGTTGCCTTTCGAGTGATATAGTCCGGAGAACTGGTCGCAATTTACAACCCTAGAAACGAACAGAGAGATGCTACAGAAATCCAACTATAATCAAATAAAGTTTATAGTCGCATTTTTCTGATATCAAGAATTTTAGTAGCATCTACGCTCGAAATAACAAAACTAGTGTAAGGAAAAACAGTAGCCGAAAAGTGAAAAGAATAAAACAAAATAAAACTTTTGATTTGACAGGAAATTTCAAGCCCCACCTTGTCACGTATTGTTTATGAATACTGTTCGAAGTTGTCAACGTTTGCTTCGGAAACCCAGCTACGTTAACTTCTTGCTGAATTTGCAGAATTTTAATATTCGCTAGACATGCCAATCCTTACAGATGCTGATGCTATGGAATGAATATATTCGAATTGCAAGTTTACAAATTATTTAATATGCTCTGAATAAATTAAACTTTCAATCGCTGCGGCTGGAGCATCGTCGACGTTGCTGAAATCGGATCAGACCTTTCGCTGGTAAAGGTATCTTTGGGTGGCTGCTGTTGCTGAAGTAACAGACGTAAATATTAATCTGAAACTGTGTGATCTGTTCAAACATTTGTGGATAATTTTTTAACATACCGATGCATTTATGGCCTAAATGCCGGGACACCGCGGTTGATGAGGAGCTTAAAAAACTTTGTTAATCCAATTTTTGAACGGTTCTCGGGTTAATTGTTCCACAATCTCAATACCCTATGGACAAAGGAGCGGTCTAATCGGCCAGTTGAACGTGCGAAGCTCGACACGGTTAAGATGGGAGGCCGGAGTCAGTACTATGTTTTGGAAGCATTAAACTGCACCAGATTGCGTGTTCCCAAGCAGTGATAACCTCGAGGTCTCTCGTCAGAAGCTGTTCATTTTTTTCTCCTGCTCGCCCGCAGAGATCGGCTTGTAACTCTGAATTTCTGCATTGAGAATAATATCATCGGCAAAGCTGTGGGTCGGATTGATCGTACTGGAAAGTCGGTCGTTGGTATTTAAGAGGAACATTGTCGAGACCAAGACCAATCCCTGGGGAACACCCGCGTTGACATTATGGATGGATATCTTGAGGCCAGCGAGGAAGTCAACCATCCATCTGCAAAGCTTCTCTGGGAAGCCTTGGGATCGAGGCTTGCATAAGAGGGCAGCGTACCACAGCTGATCAAATTCTTTCGTCGTATCAAGAACAACGAGATGAGCCTCACCATAAGTCTAGATGGATTTACTCT